ACTATATCCTGACGTTGACCAAATGTAATGGAACATGCTCTGCCTCGGGGAGAGGGTCCAGACATGATGTGTGCTATAGTGGTCCTTCTCTAGACGCTAATAACGCCAAGAACTGAACGAGAACGTGCAGATTAGAAAGGCACACCTTTTCAATGTTGAATTCCTCTTCCGCTTTTGCATCAATTTCCTCAGCCTTTTCATTGGCCTCCTGCTCAATGAAAGCCATCATGTGGCGCAGCTGCTTCTGCACATCATTATCGGAGATACCCATGTTGACAGAATGCAAGGTTCGACCCTGAAAACAACCATCACTTAACTGTGAGAACGGCAACACATATGACCGAATTTTGTCGCTAATAAAAGCTACAAACAACAGTAAACACTATACAAGGCGAGACGAAAGGTTTGCAGGGCTAAAGTTCTAAACGAAACACTCCACGCCGAGAAAGGAATACGCTCAAAACGATGGAATTCTTTGCGGCTTTGGATTGAACTATGCGCTGAAAAACAGATGAAGAATTGATGGGTGAGCTTTACCCACTAAAATAGATGATGTTTAGATCAATAACAGCACAACTACTGAAAGTACAGAACATTACGAAACCGAAAAGAAGAATATTGACAAACGAAGACCAACAATCAGACCACGGCCTCGGTGTTTTTGCGGCCGTGCCAATCGTCGCGGGACCGACAATGCACAACCAAAGACCACCCACAACGCGAAATTGCATGGGTTGTAAAGCTTGACGTCGCTAAGGCTTGGAAATGTACGGGTTTCGAGGGATAGTTTCCACACCCAGACCTTCTAATGTCTCCCTAGGACGTGTTATCGCAGTTTCATTACTTCTGGTAGCTAGATTTCGACGGTTTGGGTGAAGGGTCATTCTGAGAAATTCTCGACATTCCCGGCGACTGGGGGGGGGGGTCATCTCACACTTTTTCTACTTCCATCCTTGTTAGCGAACCGTGCCCACACTCCCTGTGCTTCAGAGATGCTAAACTGGTGCCGGAGTTGTCTGCTGCCATAAAATTGCTGCGCTGCAAATCTGCTGGTCCCTGTAATCTAGTGCATGGCCAAAATGGGGAGCTGTTTGGCTTGGTAGGGCATTTTGCACATGCGCTAGTTCATTCCGCTACTTCAAGCTAACTAATAGAACAGAACAGAACAAGCTAACAACTAACGGAAACGAGACTATAAGCTCTAGTAAAGCTGCAAAGTAGTAAAAGTGAACCACTTTGGTTACAAGAACATACAGATATTCACAAGTTGCCCTGTACAAGCACCGCTGAGTCCCACTTGGTGCCCCCACCAAGCCGAACTGC